GGAAGTAATTCAAAAACACTTACAAACAAGTTCGAAAACATGGGGAGGGGGGATTTTTTCGAGGTAATTATCCGCTGTTGCTAAGACTGTTGAAATTGTATGTTATCCATTAAAGATAAAATGTTTGGCTTCAAAAAGTCGAAGCTTTTTTCCCGCATTAAAAAAGTTTTTCATAAAATAAAAGAATTTCTTGAACTGAGTTGACAGACCTCCAAAAATCTTACTCTAAAATATACATTCTAGGTGATTTTTTTAATATTACAATTTTAAAAGAATATAATTTTTTTTGTTCGAAAAAAACGAATAAATAAAAGATTACTTGGTTCAGATTTTTATGAGTGTGTTCATCATATCACCGAAATATTTATTTTTTCAATAGCTTTTTTTGACTAAAAAGTAAACTGTATTAAGATCATATTTAATCCGTATTATTAAAAAATAAATAAAGAAAAACTTTGATATTTGTATGTGAATTGTATAAACATTTTTGTTGCTGAATGTCATAATTCTGAAAAAAAAAAAATACTAAAACTTTTCTATTCATTTTTTTAAAAAAAAATAGCTTCATCACAATTTTCTAATTTTAATTTTTTAAATGTTTTTGATATTTTCAAAATTAAAAATGAAGGGATTTTTAATATCTTTTTATTTATATAATATAACGAATTCAAATTTCAGACAGCATTCCTTTCACATATTATTTTTGTTTCTAAAGCCATTAAGACTTCCATGAGAAATGCACTATTTAAACTAAATAATTTCAAATGAAGGTTTAATATTTATTTTCCTTCCTTTGGTTATATTTCAGGCTATTGTATCAAGTATCCTTCAGAATTAAAAAGAAATGCTATATATTCTGTCATTAATACTCTCCTAATTTACTAATCCTTACAGAAAATCTTGGAACAAATCCTTAAGTAATAAAAAGTAATGCACAACTCAGCACTGTTGTCTGGGTTTTGTTTTTCAGGTTGACTACTCATGAGTTTAAAATAAGCTTGCTAAGTAACAGTTACGTGTTTAGAGAATGGAAAACTCGTTATTGTGCAACTTATGTGATCTTTTTGAAAATCAGGATGTCTAAAAATCTCTATATCAATATTTTTTTTCCTTCACTACTCACTTCAAAATTTGATTAAACTATTACGGTACACTCAATAAAAAAGTACGATAACGAAAAGAATTTAAACGTTGCTTAAAAACCAGGCATTCTTCATGTTGTAGGGAAAAAAAATAATAAAATATTAATCTTTATATAGAATTTAAAGATAAAATATATATTCTGTGTATAATTTCTGTAAGAATCGAATTTTTCAAAACTTTGAAATTTTGGAGCATGAAATAAAAAGAATAGTTAAAGAATTGCTGGTAATATTTCAAAAGCAACATCCAATAAAAATTTGAAATTAGATAACGAGAGAGAGAGATTTTATTTGTCTTATGTAACCACTATATATTTTTAACCTTACAATCTCTCCGTACTCTTTACTTATAAATTAAAATCAAACTAAATTCATTTTTAGTTTAGTATAATGTGAAATTCTTCATATATATTGTACATTTAAACAATTTCATAGAAATAATGTATGTCATTCTTATTTTACAGTTAGTTAAATTTGCAATATGATATAATATAATGTAAACGATTCGCAAAAATTTAGTATTTTAGTTTTTCCTAAAATTATTTACTATATTTTTAAAAATAATAATAAAAACTCTTTTTTTAAAATATCAATTTCTCAAAAAAAGGGAAGAAAAGGGTTACTTTATGTAAGTAAGAGCAATGTAAGAAAAGTAATTAAAATATTTAATTTAAAAACATTTAGCATTTCACTGAATGTATTGAAATGTTTTACTCTTCACAATATTGCCACTTTCAGAATTGTTTTCGTTTTAACTCTCATTACCATACTTAAAAACAAGAGTATGAATTGTTACTAAATTTGCAATATACAAATAATTTAGAATATATTTTAACGTTCTCGAACTCGATATTTTTCAGTTCCGTTTACCAAAAAAACATTTCATCATGAAAATATATTTGCGTCATCTGATTCTTCTTTAGAACACATGCCTTGCATCATCTGTTCTAATTGTAGTGTTAGTAAACATTTCCTCACGTTACTCTCTCATGGTTAAATTTTACATTGTAACATTTGCATAGACAGGTAAAATGAGATAGTTTATTTTTAGCCACGACGATCCTTGTCTAGAAATAATTTTAACCTCGGCGTAAAGAAAGCTTTATAAACACAGTGAGTGAAGACAAGAAAATGAATGGTCTTTTAACCAGACTGCGTTTCCAAGAGAATACAAGATTAAATATTTTATTTAACTCGCGACAGCAAGGAAAGATGGCTGTGAATGGTTAGAACTCAACCGAGAGTAAGGAACTCTGGAAGGACAAATGTCAGTCTAATTGCTGGAATTATGTATAAAAGATGGAAACTGGTGTTTATTGATATCATAAGTAGAAGGCCACGTGGGCGAAAGAAAATATTATGAGGTCGAGAAATATCAAACGATTTTCTGCGTGTTGCTAAATTCCAAACAGAAATTATGCAAACAAATTAAGATTTTAGAAAGAAAACTGTTTGATCGACTTTTAAAATGTATATAAATTAAGAACTATTATTTCAGAGACTTGGAATATTAAAAATAAACTCTAAAACAACTTGATGATAGAAAATAATGAGTTTAGATTTAGTATTATCATTTTATTTAACATAACTTAATTTGACAAACCGTTAAAAAAAAAAAACAACTTAAGTGACTTAAATATAAAAACTGATATGTGAGACTAGTACTTGAAAAATTGAGCATGAAAAATTTAGATACAGTTTAAAGTTTGAGGATTTTATAAGGATATTCAAGTATTAAAGTTCTTCAAAAAAAAAATGTTTCAAAGTTTAAAAAAATTTTATTATGTGCGTTTTTTTTTAAATCAAATGCATTTTATTTTTACCTATGGGTGCTATTATTGCTTACAAATATATAATTTTCAAAAGAAGCTGCAACAAGCAAAAGTTGGCAACAACGAAGTGCATGTACAAGTTGGTAGGAAACATGTGATTGCATTTATCATGTGACTATGACACCAAATGAATTTAACCCATTGCTTGGTAGTAATTGTTTAGAGAAGAAGTCTTCAAAATTTTTCAAATACCGGAACTCCTTGAATAAGAAGGTGTTTTCGTGGAACCCCTAGAACTAGAAATTATTTTCGTAGAAATTATTTCCAAGTGTCATCTACCCATGCATTATGTTTAGTAACTGGGATATGTGCTTGTGAATTTTTTCACACGAACTGTTGAAGTCTAGGCCTATTTAGTTTAACTGCAACCACATTACATATTCTGAGTTTTGTTTGTTTCTATACTTTGTTTTTGTCGTCACTCACGTTGAGAAATATTTTCGCTTATACACAATGTTCTAATGGCATTAAAAATGGTGTGAGCAATACTGCTTATTTTGCATGAATTTACATTAAACTTAGGAGCTGTTCTTTTGCATTAATTTAGAATTTTAAATTTGAATATGTTGATAAGTTATTCCCACTCCTTTACTGTAGGTGTTTTTTTCCACAAATATAAAAAGGTGCATTTTCCATAACTGTTTAGTTTTGCAAGGCGTTGTACTAACGAGTATAAAATTATTTCGTGGGACCCGGGATAGTAAACAATAAAATATTCACAATCTAGTAGGTAATATATATATAAAGATAAAACGTTTTAATATTCTTTTATTACATTTATAATAAAGTTTCAAAAGTATTGCAAAATAAAGTTATTATGTGTAGATAAAATTTTCAGTTTCTTAATGATAGCGATGAGCTTTAAATTTTTGTGGGAATACAAACTTCTTAGAGAACGTGAATTCATTTTGCATACACATTACAAGTTTCTTTTCGATTTTTTTACTGTGACTCGTGGAACCCCAGGGTTCCGTAGAACACAGCTTGAAGATCACTGGTTTAGAGTCAAAACTACTAAAACTTTCGGTAAAAGCTGAGTCGAACAGTAACACTATCTGAATTATTCACCTTAAAAATTCGAAAACTAAATATCAGACACTGTGTATTTTTTTCTGACAGATACAAATTATTTCTGCTATTGATAAACTGAATCAACTCAAAATCTTCTTTAAGCACTTTTCAATTATTTAACCGAGACCTATCTATGTTAAGTATATCACTTAAATCATTCACCATTTAGATAAGATTATTGTTTCCCGCTCTAAAATTAGAGAGAATGAATTCATCTGTTATCACTTCACCACTTACCCACCGTATATCATTATTCCAAAATTGACGTATCCATCCCTTCTCTCATTTAATCCATTAAGTGTTATCTTAATGTCTCGCCTGAACACTCAACAAATTCTCTGAATATCCAGATTCCACCGCGCTGTTCTCAAGAACGAATTCGTTAAGTCCTGTTGATTCATCCAGTGAGATAAATGAAGTAATGGATTTATCTAGTTTAAATTAAATCGTTAAGAGGCTAGGCAAATTATCATGCTATACTCAACACGTTTGACGAACAACTCTTGTAAGCTTATCAGATATTGTGTTTATATTTACGGCAGCTTTCTGGATATTCAGTTTAATAATCCTTTAATGTTGGTTGTCCAGCTTAACATTGGTCTATTTAAAAAGAGGTAATAAGAATCACATAGGAAAGCAAAAACAGTGTTGAGAAAAAAAACAAGTAATATAAAAAAAAAATTAAGTCAATTCCCACTTGGTCAACTAAGAAAATTTTTATTTTAGTTACTTTTATTAATTAGTTAAAATTAATATAAATATGTATATACATATGACAGAATCACAATATTAAGTGAAAAAATTGAAAGCGACTTTCCTTGCAAATTTTTCCATTTTCCTTGCTATATAGGGTGTTGGACAATTTTTTTTGTTTGTTACTATTTATTCATTAAATAAATTTAATTATTCAAAAAAATAGTATAGTAAAAAGGAAATCACGTGTTCTCAGAAATTAGGCCATCCCAGGTGGGATTCGAACCCACGGCATTTGAACTAAAAGTCCAACGCGCTATCCATTGCGCTACAGTGGTACAGGGAACGATTTTCCTTTCTATATATGCTGTTGGACTATTATTTTTGTTTGTTATTATGTATTCATTTTTTAATTTAATTAATGAATAAATATTTGAAAAAAACTGTATCGACATCAAGTGTCATAAACTTCAAATTTGAAAAAATGTATTTGAACTTGGATGGATGAATAGAAAGTATTTTATTAACGATTGAAATTTTGAATAAGATATATATATGTATATATAGGGAGATTGTGTGAACTTATAATGGGAATTGAAAAATTGTTTTGAATTTTGTTCAGTAGTTTTCGCAGTTTCAAAAAGCTGCTTGTTTGTCAAGTAGTATATCTTTGTGAAGCCAAATATTACGTTCTATATCCTGACTATCTCAACCTCCTTAAAACTAACTTTAACTCTAATATGGTTGAATTCTTGGGTTTAGACGCATCTTATTAAAAATAATGTAGTCAGTAACATTTTTGACAAAAGAGATTCTTTTAGATGTAATTAAAATTCATGTATGGAATAGTAATTTACATTTATCAATTTATAGAAATATTATTTTGAATTTTTTTATTTAGAAATAACAACTACCCAAAAAATTGATAAATTCAATAATATCAAACAAAAAAAATTTCAATGCTGTTTAGATCATGACTACCCTTTTAACTTCTTAAGAACTGTATATTCATCACAAATACATTAATCGTCTTGCTATTTCTAATTCCAAATCCACCACACAACAGTAGGATTTCAAAGTCAGCATGTTAGGGTTCTTGCTCTGTGAAGATTATATTATTACACTCTTCTCACAGTTTACATTTTTCCACACATATCTTGAACATCTTACACATTTTAAAAATTTCTACATTTTTGACAACCAACCAATTCATAGCCAACCAAATTTGATTGTCATCTCTCTTGGCATCTGTCTTTGCTGGCTCGATTAAAAGATGCGTTTATGTATAATCTGGTTTTTTTAACTCAGTGAACTTTCCATTAATTTCAAGACTCTTGGAAAAAGCTCTGTGAGTAGAAATTTTACAAAATTCTTTTTTGAAAAATCCTTTTCTTATGTAATTCTTTAGTAATTTTTTTAGGAATTTTCTGTGCTTTAAGATTTTAGGAGAATTTGTTGTAGAATAGTAGTAGGTGTTTTATCATACTTTTTGTGAGATTTTATATACTTTGAATTTTTATTTATTTTATTTGATTTTTCCTACCGAGTTGCAAAGGGGTAGGTTGGTGCCTTCAAATTACTTTAACCCCACTTATTTGGTCCTTAGTCCGAAATTGTTTTCTGACTCGCTAGGTTCTCATTTCTATTTCCTTTTTTGTATTTTTCTATAAATTCGATCTTCATGTTTTGCTTTTATTTTTTTATTACGTTGTTTCTTGTTATGTTCATTATCTATTATTTCTTGTTTTTGATATATTATATAAATTTCTTCATATATATATATAGGGAGAGAGTGAACTAATTGTAGGAACTGAAAAACGGAAACAATTATCAGGGGCGTAGCTACCCCCGTATCAGCCGTATCAATGATACGAGGCCCCTAAACTATAGGGCCCCCAACATATGTAAGCAAAAAATCGCACCATGTTAAGCCCGCAATATAGAGGTATATAGAGGCAATATAGAGGTTCGACTGTATATATATATGCACCTGTGCGTGTGCAATTTTTTTTATTATTATTATTATCTATTCTTACAGTAATAATTAATCGAACATAGTGTAAGACCTCTACACATTTTTATATTTCCTAGCAGGGTGATTTCAAAATTCCATTATCGAATCAGAGAAAAAAATTTTAAACAGAAAAGAGTTGATCATTTTTTATTTCTCGACAATTGTCCAATTTTGTGGACCTTGGCAGCTGCTTATAACAGCTGGCAGAGATTCGAAAGTTCTAGAAGCAATTTTGTTTAAGGAAGAGCATTAAAAAAGTTATTGGTAAAATGGAAGCTAATCGGGTCAATTTCAAAATTTAACCCTAGAATAAAAAGAATATTTTTTAAGCTTAGAAATAAACTAACTGTACTGCAAAAACAAATTAAGAAGAATCAAAATCGAATGTATTGCAAACGTGCACGAGAATTTAACTCGATTTTTTTTGCTACAAGTCTTTCAGCCAAACTTAAATGCGAAATAATCCCTGAACCATGAAAATTGGGTCTTTATAAAAAGTTAATTTTAGGTACAAATATTGTGTGTAGCAGAGCATGATTTTTTTTTACCATTAATAAAGCTTTTAGATTTTTTTAACTGTAGCGGAGACCTAGTAATTATTGCTGACGCGCTTAGAAATGAAATTGTCTGTGGTAAAATGTGTTAAGGATTTTTGTGTAGGTATTGAAAAATAAAAATTTATTATGAAAAAAGTTGCTAAAAAATTTTTCGTTCTAAATATTGTCCTGTAACATGATATTAGTCAAATTTTTTTTTTTAAAAAATCTGTTTCAGTTCATACACTATTTTTTAAAATTTGAATATGTTATGCATATATGAAGAACTGCAATATTGTGCACAAATATTAGAAAACACATATCATTCTCGGTATTCTATTTTTTAAACATTACTTTCTGTAATAATATAACATTATTGATATTTCATTTATTTTGCGATAATTCTGTTTCGTATCTAAAATATATCCGAACATTTATTCTTCATATATATTATCTGTTCTTATGTATTACTCTAAACACCCTTTTTTATTTAAACATATAAATTGAATTCTTACTATATATATAAACAGTTCTTATTTCCAAATAAAATTCCTTAACTTAGGTAAGTAATTTAACTAATATCAACAGTTAATTACATTTAACTTTTTAATAATACAATACATAATAAATAAATACATGATTATTTACATTTATTATTTACAGTTAAAAACAGTTAATTACATTAATTGCCTCATGAGGTCCTCTCTGTTTATCTCTTATCAATTTATTCATGTTGTTGCTCATGCCACCTGCCTGACATAGTCAGATCGAGGCCCACGAAATTCATCGTGGCAATGGGCTAGATGTACGCCTGTCGTTGGCTTTTAGCCTTGAGCACCATATAGGTGACAGTACGATTTAGCTCGGAGAAATTCCCGAAGGAACAATAGATGGCGACGCCACCTATCTCCACCTCCACAATTTAGGCATGGAACTGAAATGGAGGGAAATTTTCTCCAGTTCCCTGCACTCGTGATTCAGCCCACAAGACTTTCGGACCCACTGATTTAACGAGCACGTGCCCCGCGTGTACTCGCAGGGTATTTGGCGGTACGGGCATCGAACCCAGGCCTTCCGGTCCGGTGCTCTAACCACTAGGCTACCCACGGCCTTTCGTTCGTTTATGTAAGAAGTTGAATAATTGTGTGGCTTATTTTAGTGACAGCAATTGGAAAGAATAATCCGATTTTCAGGATTTTAAAAAATTTCATAAAAATATATAACATTTAATTTTTTTTCTGCTTGACCTCTGGCCTTTCCTCTTAGGCGTTGTTTTTTTCTATCAATGACTCTTTTCATTCACATATTTCAGCATTGTTTACAAAATAGTAAACAATTCTGAATTATCTGAATGCGGTACGGAATTATCACGTTTATGAGTTTCAAATTACACGTTTGTTATCCACTTTTTGGAAAAGATGAGTAAATCCTGCACTCGATCAACGTCAATGCTTACTCAATACAACTAAAAACAGCATTTAGAAAAAAAGTCTTATCAAGACTTCTCGAAGTTGTTAATTCTAACTTTGATAAAGTTCAAGGACCGATTGGAAGGTTCAAGCAATGACTCTACAAACACTTAAATTATCAGAAATGACATAAGTGTATAAAGTTTTTAATATGTAATTTTTAATGAAAAGTAGGTTTTTTTAGGAAATTCTTTGTAAAAAAATAAGCTTTTATGAAAATTGTGCAACCTTATTTCGCAATTTTTTATCACATCTGAACAAAATTAGTATCAATATTAATGTTTTAAAAATAGTTAAATTCTTGTATCAAAAGATTAATGAATTGAAATAGATAATTAACTTGTATAAAATCAACTATTTTCTTTCATTAAATTAAATTGATTTTTTTTTTACATATTTGATTTGTTAGCTTATAATTACTATACACTGCGTGACATCAAAAATGTAACATAGGGAGTGAGTGAATATTAACGTCGCACTGTTCAACTACACGAGGGCTTTTGGCGACGGACCACGTAATTTTGAACCATGGTCAAGTGACGTGGACAACACCTGAGCTGGCACCCCCTCTCCTAACTACCACACCACACCAACGGGAGGACGTTTCAGCTCTCGACAGATTTAACGTGCATCGCTGCCCTACATGGCGGGTCTTTAGTGGTACTGGGCTCGAACTCGTGACAAGGCAAGCCACGGTCCGATACCTATACCACTCGGCTACCGCGGCCACACACTGTAACATCAAAGAGGAGTGACCAGAAAATTAAAATTCCAGGATAGGCAGAGTTCACCAAATAAAAGTTTACCAAAACGTGTAACTCTCTGGGAAAAGTTTATTTGTATATAAGCGAAGGAACCCGGACAATATCCGTCACATTATTTCCAGCAGGGAAATCATTGTACAGGCCCCCTAGAACCCTGCCCCCCCCCTCTCCGTGATGTGGGGGTGTACATTACGTCATTGGTAGGTTAGTCCATATGCCGAATCTCTGATGACACTCTCTACATACCACGACCATTGTATATCGGCTGTGATACAAATGGTTCGAGCAAGGAAATGTGACAAATGTGAAGGGTGCTGGTATGACCAGAAAGACATTAACAAGTGGATTGATGCATTCAACGCCCGGTATAGTGGTTAGGGACGTTGATTGCTGTGCCGTAGGGCCCGAGTTTGAATCCCGGAGAAGGCATGGATGTTTGTAAATGTTTAGCGCCTTTGCGGCATGGGTGCACTCTAAATTTTGCAGAGCTGCAAGTCATTTCATAAGGTCGGTGGAAGGAAAAAAGAGGCGGGAAGCCCCTGACCACCCCCAGGG